AAAATATGGGAATCAGGAAATTATCTATAAACCAAACTGAACGATTGTTGTTCTCTACTTAAAAAACACTTTAGATTTATTGATAAATTTAATGTATAACATGGATTCATAAAAACCTCGTTTATTTCAGGTTAAATTCTGTTTAAAGTAACAGAAAAATGTCTCCAGACCTTTACTGGTTGATGATTTTCTGTATTCGGACTGCGCTGATTTTTAATTGGTTACCGCTGCATTAGACCAACCAGACTGGTCCAGGATCTCCATATATGGGCAGGATCTCCTCTTCCTCCCACGTTTAAACTGTTAGAAACCCAACAGTAGATAAACCAGCAGAAGGACTGAAGGATGAAGCCAAACAGGCTCAGCAATGACCAAGAGGTTTGGATTATTTCAGCAGGAAGTTGGACCTGCCTGGTCTAACGCTTTGTTTCCAGGCGGGTATAACCCCTAGTGGCCGCTCCACACCATTACAGCTCAGCACGAGGCTTCCAGGTGACGCGGTTATTAATGCACGCTGGCGGCGCTGTAAGGGTTAAATATTGAACAGGTTAATAGCTAACTGCTAAGGCTACGTTGCTTTTAAATTCCCTTACTGGCACATCTGTGATGAAATGATGCCTTCACCTCTCATTGGTCAGGAGTTCCAGCTCCGCCCATTTCCTCATCAGGCCACTGCTTTACTAAAACCAACATTTGATCACTGTGCAGATGATCATCGCATTCTTCCTCACATGGAGGGGGGAGCGCAGGACGGGGGAGGAGACGCCTCACCCTCTGGTTCCCAGTATCAGCCTGATTAGACTAACAACCATAGGAAGAAACCGAGACGTGTGATTGGACTGGGCTCCAGAAGGCGGGGCTTATCACACCCAGATAAACAAGGTCTGGACTCAGTGACTCGTTTCCATCAGTTCTTTCTTTTCCTTTATTTAAATATAAACGGCTTCATCTGCTCCTCTCCAACCCTCTAAGGTGTGGATGGAGAGCTATTCCTCAGACTCCTGCCCAGCAGCACCAGGCCAGCAGGCAGTCTCTGAACTGTCCCAGAACTCTGCCGGTTCTGATCAGGTGACCCCGCCCTAACATCGGTCCTCCTTCTGCTACCCTGACCAACGTCTGTGATCATGGCAGCTGTGGGATCCTAGAAAAGATGCTCTTTGACAGCAGTAAAACAGGAGTCCTAGTTCTGTGGGAAGACGATGGGGTAGATCTGGTTGTAGTGGTCTACAAAGTGGACCTCCAGTCCTTCCGTGATGTAGTCTGGAAGGTCAGAGAAGTCCTTCCTGTTCTCTGCTGGAAGGACGATGCAGGTGACTCCGGCACGACGAGCCTGAGGAAAAAAAGGACCACGGTCAGTCTTTATATGGACAGTAATGAGACCATCTTCACCAGAGGCTCTGCAGCTAACGCTCAGCTAGCACTCAGCTAACACTCAGCTAGCACTCAGCTAAGGCTCAGCTAGTGCTGAGCTAACACTCAGCTAGCGCTAAGCTAACACTCAGCTAGCACTAAGCTAACACTCACCTAAAACTCAGCTAACACTCACCTAAAACTCAGCTAACACTCACCTAACACTCAGCTAGCACTAAGCTAACACTCACCTAACACTCAGCTAACACTCACCTAACACTCAGCTAGCACTAAGCTAACACTTAGCTAAGCGTCAGCAAGCACTAAGCTAACACTCGGCTAAGCCCTAGCTAGTGCTTAGCTAACACTCAGCTAGCACTAAGCTAACACTCAGCTAACACTCACCTAACACTCAGCAAGCTCTAAGCTAACACATAGCTAAGCCTCAGCTAGTGCTTAGCTAACACTCAGCTAGCGCTAAGCTAACACTCAGCTAGCACTAAGCTAACACTCAGCTAGCACTAAGCTAACACTCACCTAACACTCAGCAAGCTCTAAGCTAACACGTAGCTAAGCCTCAGCTAGTGCTTAGCTAACACTCAGCTAGTGCTAAGCTAACACTCAGCTAGCACAAAGTTAACACTCACCTAACACTCAGCTAGCGCTAAGCTAACACTTAGCTAAGTCTCAGCAAGCTCTAAGCTAACACTCAGCTAAGCCCCAGCTAGCTCTAAGCTAACACTCAGCTAAGCCTCAGCTAGCACTTAGCTAACACTCAGCTAGTGCTAAGCTAATACTCACCTAGCACTAAGTTAACACTTACCTAACACTCAGCTAGCGCTAAGCTAACACTCACCTAACCCTCAGCTAGCGCTAAGCTACCACTCACCTAATGCTCAGCTAGCGCTAAGCTAACACTCAGCTAAGCCTCAGCTAGCTCTTAGCTAACACTCAGCTATTGCTAAGCTAACACTCACCTAAAGCTCAGCTAGCACTAAGCTAACACTCACCTAATGCTCAGCTAGCGCTAAGCTAACACTCAGCTAAGTTGAGGCTAACTCTAAGCTAACACTCAGCTAAGCCTCAGCTAGCGCTAAGCTAACACTCACCTAATGCTCAGCTAGCGCTAAGCTAACACTCAGCTAACACTGCAGACGCATTAAAGCAAAGTGCTTCTGGTCTCTTCTGTGCTGATCTGCCACATAGGGATCTACCATGTTTGAAGCGCCGTTGTAGTTCTAATAATCTAACGGCGCGTGTTTGGGATTCTTACTGCAATGGTTTTCTCCTTGATTCCTCCAACCGGCAGGATTTTTCCAGTCAGTGACACCTCCCCAGTCATGGCCACATTCTGACGCACAGACCGGTTGGTTGCCAGGGACAGCAGCGCTGTGACAATGGTGCAGCCGGCGCTGGGTCCATCCTTAGGAGTAGCTCCCTGGAAGAGATTCAGGGAAATTCAGAGGAGGGAGGGGGGGGGGCATGTAATGATGGAGCCCCGGTACAGCCCATGATACGGACCATCAGGATCCTCATCAGATCAAACCAAATCTGACCAGTTATATCTGAGCCCTTCCTAAACCTGCAGCCACTTAGAGCAGCTAGCAGCTAGCTCGAGGAGCTACAGATGCCCACCCCTACCCCACAAAGGAGTCAGCTGAGCTGATGGGCCACCAGTGGGAGGAGTCAGGTAAGGGAGAGGAGTCAGGTTAGGCTCCGCATTGAGGAATCAAAGATGTTTCCATCCCAGTATCGTAGGACGGACTCCTTTTACCTCTGGAACATGCAGGTGCAGGTGGGAGCTGGTCAGGAAGGTATTCTCTGGCTCCTTGGCCATGAGGAACGCTCTGGCAAAGGTTGAAGCAATCTTTGCGCTTTCTTTCATCACTTCCCCGAGCTGACCTGTAGAGGAGATGGACCGTTAGACACCAGAGGAGGAGCCTGGAGGCCCCGTAGAGCCAGACAGAACCCACAGACCAGGACAGCCAGCTCTGATTCTGAGACACTGGATGGTGCAGCTCTTCCTTCTAGGACGTAGGTCTTCAACAGGGGCTCCATGACCCCTCAGGGGTCCGCCGAGGTACTGCATGGGGGTCACGAAAGTTCTGGTTGATTAGAGTTTTTTTATATCCCCCCCTGCAACTTTTTCCACTAATTGAAATGTTTTTAAATCCACATTTAACATGAACAGACTGCAGTAAACAGTTCATAGACACTTTTTCTCTTACGACCATCGGCCATTTTCAAAGAACGGCGATGAGAAAGATGAGCTTCAATGACCGTCTGAAACCGTGGCTCACCACAGATATATGCCTGAAAGTGTGAATGCACAGAAAAAGATTGCTAATGGGGCGAGCATGTAGGACGGCCTTACGTAAACATATCACCAGAACGATTGACAGTTAAGAGGACCACTGACTGAGATGATCCACTCTGAAATAAAAGATCCTGCTCTATACCTTTAATGACTTTAACTGATGTTTGTGATGTAATTGGAGATTTTAACATCCATGCTGACATTGAAGGCGATAGCTTAAGA